GGCTAAGATTAGTGGCAATTAAAGACATATACTGTATGTGTAGTATTGTACATGTATATGTAGTATAATCTATTCCCAATGGCATCATGATTAATGTACTATTGGTTGGACATAGCAGCATCACTCACTTTACTCACTTGCACAAATCCTATGTACTTATACATATACTGTGCATTATTCTACAATCATGAACTGATGAATGATGGTTGCAGAAATACATGTACACACACGTGTAATAATTATGGTTTTTTCAATCTTTAGAGCTGAGCAGAAGAAAGTGAAGAAGCTAACAAAAGACAAGGAAGGTTTGAATAAGGAACTGTCGGCTCAGAATGACAAAGTGAGAGATCTTGAAAAGAAGCAGAAAGAGTTGGAAAAGAAAGTGAAATCACTTGAAGAAGAGCTCCAATTGATACAGAAACAAATGAAGTGAGAAAGAGAGATAAAGATAAAGGGAGAGGATCAAGGGAATAAAAGATTGTGTATATTCTGTGTTTCTGTGTGTTATATAAGTACCGTATAGCTTGATATTTTCTTGATATTTTCGTGGTTTGCTCCTAGTGGGACAATTCGTGGTTGACAGTTTACATAGCCTGTAAGGGGATGGCACTTCAATGATTTTGTGGGTTTAAATTTCGTGGGCAGCCCATAACCACAAAAATCACGAAATTTACATTCCACGAAAATTTCAAGCTATACGGTACACTATATTTTAATTCCTACGTTTATTTTGTTATATATTAAGATTGCTAGCTGCATTATAACTATTTCCTTTTTGTTTCAGAGAAAAAGATAAATCTCTTAAAAAGGTCACAAATGAGAGGGACAGTCTATCAAAGGAAATGCGTCAGATGAAAAAAGATTGTGAAGAACACATCAAACGAATCACAGAACTTGAAGAACTGCTCTCGGCACAAGTGTAAGCTCTCATGAGACCATACATGTACATGTACATATACTTTACATGTACATGTACTTATTTACTAAGGATTGGGTGTACTTGTATTATTGTTATTAAGGCATTTAATTTGTGCACCATATTCAAAAATTTTTATGATATAAATATTTACTAAAAAATTTTTAAATAAATGATTTTATTTTTTGCTTCTTTCTTAGTTCTGATAAAGAGAAGATGATTAAAGTGTTGAAGGATCAAGTCCAGGAATATCACGTAAAATTGGACTCCATCAAATCTTCTTCATCAAGTCCCAAGTAATTAAGAATCACCCGAAACACTCTTCATGTACATGCATGTACAATCTAGTAGAAGAATATTTTGTGTATCAGAAAATTTTTTGCCAGTTGTGGCCCATTTGCTGAAAAGTGGTTTTAACTTTAACTTTAGCAATAAAGACGTAACACAGATAAAATGAAACATAATAATATTGATTCTGTACAAAATGACAATCAGCATCTCGTTCAAATACCCAATTTTAAAATATACTTTTTGTTGTTATGTTGTGAGCTACAAGTACATGTAATTTTGACTTCAATTTTTTGAGCTATACATGTACATACCATTGTAAAAAATTCATATTCTGAAAAATCCCTGTGTTGTAATAGCCCATGATTTTTTTCAAAAACTGGCTCCGAAATCACTCTCAATTTTATTACATTTTCTGGTACATATTCATGAACTTATGCTATGTAGAAAGTTTGAGGTGATTCCAACTTCAATTTTTTGAATTACGGCCATTTAAAAAATGGGCCAAATTTTGAATAATTTCCTGTACTATAGCCCATGATTTTTTTCAAAAACTGGCTCCGAAATCACTCTCAATTTTATTACATTTTCTGGTACATATTCATGAACTTATGCTATGTAGAAAGTTTGAGGTGATTCCAACTTCAATTTTTCGAGTTATGGCCATTTAAAAAATGGGCCAAATTTTGAATAATTTTCTGTACTATAGCCCATGGTTTTTCCAAAAAAATGGCTCCAAAATCACCCCCAATTTTTATTACTTTTTCTGATACATATTAATGTACTTATGCTATGTAGAAAGTTTAAGCTAATTCTGACTTCAATTTTTCGAGTTACGGCCATTTTAAATGTGGGCCAAATTTTGAATAATTTCCTGTACTATAGCCCATGGTTTTTCCAAAAAATGGCTCTGAAATCACCCCTAATTTTTATTACGTTTTTAAATACATATTAATGTACTTATGCTATGTAGAAAGTTTGAGCTGATTCTGACTTCAATTTTTTGAGTGATGCCCATTTTTAAGATATGGGAAAAACCTGTACTACATATAATAGCCCATGGTTTTTTTCAAAAGGTCACTCCGAAATCACTCCCAAATCCCAATTTTTATTACATCTTCTGATACATATTGATGATGTTATAAGCATTTTAAGCATCCTCTATTAATTAACTTAACTGCTTCCCTTTTCTCTGTCTCTCTCTTTTTTCTTTCTTAGGAATGAGACTGATGGTGACTCTAGTGAGCTATTACAAAAGTAATGTAATAATAATAACAATGACATTGTATTATGGTGATATTGTCAATATGGTTACAGTATTAATGAACAATCATTTTTATTCCACATTTTTATTGTTTTTTTATTAAAGATAATTTTTAAAATTTATCTAACCAACTTCCTGGCAGCCAGCCATGCAGTGTATAAAATAAATACATGCCTTAGTTATGCTATGGGCCAATTTTTATGTCAGTCTATGTGAAGCATATTTACCTTTTTTTCAAATTTTTGTAGAGCAGAGAAGAAAATCCTGGACTTAGAAGCTAAGGTGGCAAAACTAGAAGCAGAACTCATTGCTAGGTAACAAGTACATGTATTTATTAATAGCACCATTGTAATAGCTTGTGTCTATTAATAGTAACATTGTAATATCTATTAATAGTAACATGATTTTTATAATAGGGCTGGAGTTGATCTATTGACTGATGATGAGAAGACAGCACAGAGGATCAGTGAGAGGTTTGAGATGATTCATTTTTTACTTAATTTTATTTTTTGAGCAGATATATTGAAGATGGTGATGATACAAGCGATGATACTGGGTAATGATATGAAGAAGTAGAGGGAGAGGGAGAAAGAGAGATGGTAGAAAGGAAAAGTTCCTATTATAAAATAAATGAATGTCATACCGATCATATTATGTGTTTGTTTTTTATACTCATAGTCTGAATCAAGAGTCTAAAACTATCAAAAAATTAGAAAGGGAAATTGCAAGGTAACAAGACATCTTTTGTCTGTTATAAATGTATTATAATATAATAGATTAAAAAGTGATAGAGACTCCCTTCAAGACAAATACATGACACTGCAACAAAAATGGCAACCATTTCAGGTACAGTTAGAGTAATCAATGCCTTAGTGAGTGGAGAGCTCTCCAAACACTGTAAACAATAGTGTGGATAGTTAGGCACAATTTGCTGACTTTGCACCTCATGCTACAGAAGGAAGAAGCATTGGCAAATTGCCAATTTACATGTACATGTATTTGATTAGTCAAGCATTGAGCACTAATGGTGGGTTTGTTTGACCAAGTGATGAATAGCCATCAATCTTTAAAATTCACCAATTTTTTCTTGCTATATACATTACTGATGGTTGTAAGCATTGGATTTTTACAAGGCTATTATTCATTGATAATCTTGTTTTATTATGTGTGGACTATTATTAATACATTAGGATCAGTTGGATGGTCTTGAAGACATTAACCATTTGCTGCAGTCACAATCAACACTAGCTCAATCAGAGGTTAGCTCATGCATTATATCACAAAAATGAACATGAAATAAATCTTTATTTTATTGTATGACTAACAATTGGATTTATGTACCATTCATTCCTTGTAGATCGAGAAGATCAGTGCTATGTATGCTAAGCTATTGGGTCACCAGAATCAAAGACAAAAGATACAGCACGTGAAGAAACTGAAGGAAGAAAATATGAGCCTTAAACAAGTAAAATTATAAAGTGGAACATGATGCCTGCATGTCAGAGAGAAAAGAGAAAATAATGTCAATAGCAGGAAATTTTGGAGGGACTAGAATTTGGCAAACTGCTAAATTTTGGTGATTGGAGAATTTTAATTTAGCGAATTTGTAGCAACATGCCATTGAGCATACGTATAATGGCTCAAAATGGTGGATTTTTATTTTGGCGAATGGCTATCAAAACATCAAATTTAATCCCCTCCAAAATTTCCCGCTATACAGTTAAGTTCATTTTGGTTCATCTCTTGTATTACTATAGGAAATAGCACAGTTGAATACAACAGTTAACAAGCTAACAAGACAAATGAAAAGGCTAGAAGACGAGAAGGGACACCATACTAAGAGAACTCCAATGACCCCACTCTCAACTAAGAACTGATTACAATGTGCATAGATTATGCTTACTTATACTTTTACACTGGTTTTTAGATATAATGATCCAATCCACAACATTCCTCACTGTAGACTGATTTTGTGTTGATTTTTGTATTAGAATATATTGTAGATACTAAAATAATACCTGATCAAACACCCACATGCAGAAATCTCCATCATGCTGTATATCAATATCTATGGCTATAATACAAATTTTTGTGGTTTACATTTTCATTCTTTTACTTCCTGTAAAACCGGAAGTTATTAGATGATCTGTCTAAGTTGGAGAAATGCATTCGGCATTGAAGACAGCATTGCTTTTCTCTCTGTTTTTCTCAGTCATTCGAGCAGATGATGCTACAGTTTGCACTAAAACTTATGCAGACCTCGAGGAAGCTCTATTGGACAGAGAAACAGACAACAATAGACTCCTAAGAGATGCATTTTATCCTCCTGGTGGTGAGTCATTGGTTCACTTTCTCAATGTTGTCTATTGTGTTAGTGAGTCTAAAACAGAATGTACTGACTCATCTATTAATTACACCTACCATTGGTCAGACAGTCGCCTACTTCTGGTAATTGAACCAAACCTGGTTCGTGCTCTAACTCTGACTTCAGTTACGTTTCATATTGATGAGGTTTTACTGATCATTAGTCCACCTTTTTGCTCCAATGTTACTTTAAACAATCGTCAACTATTGAAGACATTGACAACATGGGTAAGCATAATATTATTGTAATCATCAAAAATTTAATTAATTGTACTATGCCATGATCAGAATGTGTGAATATCCTGGCTTGTCCCTAATAAAATTAACTGTATTACATCATGATTGCATCTACAACCCGCTGTTTACATCTTACTAATTAGTTTTGGGGGGAAACTAGACTTTGAACCCAAAATACAGACTAAATAGAACGAATTAATATGACATTATGGCAGCTATATAAAGTTAGCTAGATACCTTTTATGATTACTAGTCTAGTGCTGAGTAAATTAACTTATTGTTACTTTCACTTTCATTTTAATAGTTAAAGGAATATGCAACTGGAGACAGGTACAATCCAGAAGCTATAAGAGGTTATGTAAAACACTATGAACCAGGCTCTGAATTTTCAACCAGCTATTATACCAAGATTGATTTCCCCATTGGTGTCCTTATACCATCTGCTTTACTGACAATAGTGATTAATGTGTTTCTGGTTTTAAGTTTTAGAGTCTGCTCAAAGAAAATGGCAAAACGCATTGATAAAGCATTAAAGATAGCAGCTAATACAGTTGCATCTGGGATCACTGCGGAAAAAGAAAAAAATGAAACTGAACAGACTCCTTGTTTAGAAACTATTGGTTCACCATCTAACAGCATATTCTACATCCTAGCCATTGCAGTCCTGACAATATTGGATATGAGCATGTTCCTGACATCAACGAAATACAACATAATGAACTGGCTTGCTTTTCTACCGGTACCCATTACTGCTACACTGTGTCTATTTATCAGTGTTCTCATCCCTTCAGTTATAAAATGCATGACCTGTGCAGCTATGAATACTGACAATCGTCATCATCTTGTCAATCAAATAGCAACTGTATCGCTACTTACTGTGCTAAGCGTTTTTGTCATTTTCCATGGGTTTTGGATTGCCGTTGTCTTTACAGTATATCCCACTCTCGTTCTCTCAAAGGCTCTTCCATTGATTCCTATGTATTTGCCACTACTTATAATATACAGAAAGATCCCGTACCATTTAAAGAAAATTCATAAATTTTGTCAAAATAGAGGCAGTCAAGGAAACAAGAAGCACGACGGCTGGATTATGATAGCAGGACTTTGCTATGCAATATTTCTATGCACTGTGACATGGGTTCCTATACTTGGTCTCATTGATTATGTTTCTAATGAATTGATTGTTGTTGCTGAACTTGGAGAGAGTCCTTTGCAGCTTATTCTGATTGTTGCAGTAGTGAGTCTCATCACATACCGGCTGGCTGCAGTTTTTGTTGAAGTCGACCAAAAAAATGATAAAGAACAGGATATCCAATTTGAGCTGTCCAATGATGGATTGCCACAGAAAAATACATCAATATCATTAGAAGAAATAAGCTCTAAAGCTAGAGAAAATATCTCTGATAAAGAAATTGTGTTGATGCCAGTTGAAGAGAATGATGATGATACTGTACCAATAGTTAAATAGTTGATCTATTGTAATTTTATGCTCACAGTTATTTTAGTCTAGTTTGTAGTACCCACCCACACACATCATGATATGCAGATGCACGTAAAATTTTAATTTAGACAAAATAGATGTCCTAATATTTTCTTCAATTTCCACTCCTGTCTGACTCAATTCTCAGTTGGACTCTTTGTAGATACAGTAGACACACCGGCTCAGAACGACAAATGTCTTTGACAAGTGAGTGGTTTAATTGTACTAACTATTTAGTCTATCAACCAGTGAAGAGGGAAGGTCAATCTACTCCTGTACAGGTTGGAGACTACCTGTACATGTGGGGTGGGCTCCGGCCTGGTCTCCCTAATGTACACAATAATGAGAAGAAGAAGTCAATGTGTTCTGTAGTCGAGGTATGCCACATACCATCTGGTAGGTGGGAGAAAAAGGCTACCACTGGTAACCCTCCACTTGGCGTTTATGGCTATGCTGCCGCTGTCATTAGAAACCAAATTTTCTTTTATGGAGGAATGTGTAATCACGATGATTGTCATCATAATAGTTTATACAGGTATAATTATCATAGTTTAATAGTTGTTGTAAATATCATGTAAATATGCTATAGTTTTAATGTTGATGCCTTCATTTGGAAGGAACTCTCTCCTACTACGTCTTGTCATGGTCCCATGATGAAGCATTCCAGTGGTATGGCAACTCTAAATCTTGATGGCGAGGACTATCTTGTAGTAATTGGAGGGCGTGGACCTTCTTTTAATAATACCCCAACTCAAGCTGGTGCCCAGTACTGCGAATCTTATGGTTATCAATCTTGTAATGAAGTACATTTGTACAAATTAAAAACAGGTTAGTGGTATATAATATTATAGTTTATAAGAAGTAATTAAATAAATAGACGTATCACTATGATTATGCATGCCATCATTATTCCACAGTGTATACATTTTGAACTGGGTTAAGCCATAGTTTGCTCCTTATTGTCCCTTGTTAGTATTTATTATTATTTTTAGGTGAATGGACCTCACCAACTGTCACTGGAGCTAGACCACCTCCTATTCATTCCTTCACCCTGTTGTCAATGAGTCATAACACCAGTTTATTATTTGGCGGTGATATTGGCAATTTTAAATACAGCAATGATGTGTATATAATTGAATTTACTGAGGCTCTAGTGGTGAGAGTATTATTATTACATTACCATGCATGTATTTGCAACAATTAATGCATTCTCCTACTGTGTAGCTAGAAATTTTTGTAGCCGGCCCAAAATTTCTGCTAATTTCAGTGTGAATTTTGTCAAAATGCAAAAAAAATAATTCATAAAAACTACTCTTCTGTTAAGACCAAAGTGCACAAAATCCACAAATGAAATTTTGCTGCTATTTGCAGAAATTTTGGGCTACAAAAATTTCTAGCTATACTGTAATTATTCCTTTTTATGGCTTAAATAATAAATACTTTGAGAAACCAGTGCATCATATGTGGGTGAGGTTTTTCGGCAATTAAATAGTTTCATTATTTTAGAAATGTACAAAGTTTTCATATCCTGGAGGATCAGTACAATGGCCCAAGAGGAGATATGCTCATTCAAGTGTATTGATAAACTGTAGCTCAGGACTGCACCTGTTAGTGGTTGGTGGATTGGGTACCAGTGACTGTTGGATACTGAATATAGATAAAATGAAATGGGAAGAACTAGTGAGTATTATGAATTTATAACGTAATTGTATTGTGGTGAGCGTGAGTGAGGCCTACTACATATTTTTGTGCCTGTACATGCACGTACATTACTCTTGAATGATACTAATCAATTTGCATAAAATAAAAAAATGAAAAATTATGAGTAGTTTTTAAACTGTTGTTTGTTGTAAATTTTTGTGAGAGTGATTGGCAATTGAGAAGAAAAGAGGAGAAAGAATCATTTTTATCAACATGACATTTAAATGTTTTTTATATTTTTCTACATAGTTTAATATACCAGAAAGTGTTGCTAATAGGTGGCATCATTCTCTCTTAGTGTGGAGTGAAACATCATCTACTCACTGGATAATTGCGTTGGGAGGATTTAGCAATGCTGGTCATTCAGCAATCAATGATACAGTATTTATTGAAATCAGTGAGTTAGTACATTTTTAGATACAGTGTGCATTGAATACGTACATGTACCTACCGTATAGCTGGAAAAGTTTGCGGGAATTATATTTTGTGATTTTGGACCCATATAGCTATTTTTAATGTTTGTGGAATTTAATTTTGCTGGTGTAGGCGTGTACTGTTGATACACCCATTACTTATAATGCTTTGTGGAATTAAATTGTGCGTTTTTATGATGAACAGCAAACAGCAAAATTAAATTCCAGCAAATATTTCCAGTTATACGGTATTCTTATTCTTATTCTTCTTCTTCTTATTATAATAATAATATTTTAGCATCAAGTAATGGTGAATTGATAATACAATCAGTGCTGGGCATTAATGAATATCAAAAGAGAAGAATACAAGAGACATTGAAACACACACGCACATGCACATGACCCAAATTGCCTTGTTTGGAAGACTCATCATACTCATGTATGTGAACACAATACTTTTAATTCAGTGATGTTCAATTTAGTGATGTTCTTATAAATTTTGAGCAATGTGAGGGTGATTTTTTTCCAATATGAGCTGTCAAATGACGAATTGCCGCAAAAAAATACATCAATATTGTTAGAAAAATAAAATCTAAAGTTACAGAAAATATTTCCAAAAAATTGTACCAATGCCAATTGAAACAATAATAATGATTGCAGCACCATCGTCAATTGACATTGTATTTTGTAATGCTTAGATACCCACAGTACACATATCATCTCAATTGCATCTCTCTAAAATAAAATTCTTGTGGTTTTAACTGTTATCATAAGGCTTGGAAGGAAGAGGTGTGGCTCATTAATTTTATTGATTTCATGTTCGCCCCATAGAACATGCAGGTAAGATTCCTGTTGTTGTCAACACTGTTCTTCTTCCTTTTACCTGAGTCTCTAGCTGATGAAGGGGCTGGTGATGGTACTTGCATTAATAACTATTCAGACCTGTTAGACGCACTTCGAGACAGAGAAGCGGACAACGTTAGGAAACTACTGGACGCTTTTTATCCACCGGATGGTGGAGCAAATGTCAATTTTCTGGATGTTGCCTATTGCATTAGCAATTCCAGCAATGAATGCACTGTGAATTACACCTACTACTGGGCAGACAGTAGTCTCTTGTTGGTGGTTGAGCCTCAGCTACTAAATATTTTATCACTTTATATTATCAGGTTTGGCATTAGGCAAGTGACACTTAACATTAGTCCAACTTTTTGCTCTGATGATATTTCAAAAAATAAACAGTTACTGAAGACTCTGACAGCATGGGTAAGTCATACATTTAAATTTAGTACTAAAATATTGACCTATGGCATTTTTAATATTGGGGTGTAATAAATTTATGATGTCATCCATGACAGAATTATTAGATCTAATCTAGTTAAGAGTAGTGATAATTTGTAGATCTATAAGCAGCCAAGTGCCAATTAACACCTAAACTATAGTACTATTCTTTATTTTAGTTAAAGGGCTATGCAATAGGTGGTAATGACGAGCAATTGAAAGGCTATGTGAGGTACTATGAATCAGGCAATGAATTTCCAACGCAATACTATGAACTGATTAATGTTCGGGTTAACATCCTTATAACATATTGTCTATTGACTGTCGTCATTAATGTATTTTTGGTTCTCAGTTTTCGAGTATGCTCGGGGAGCATTAGAAAACGTATTGATAAAGCAATCAAGATTGCAGTCAGTACAGCTACTTCTGGAATCTCTGGTGAGGGCAGTGACATGAATCAAACTCCTTTCTTAGAGTCGATTTCTTCGCCAGCTCATAATGTTTTTTATGTATTTGCTATTATACTTTGGAGCTTTTATGATAGTTATAATGGATACTTTGTTTCCAGAGTAAAGTATAACACTGAAAACTGGCTTGTTTTTCTACCAGTACCAATCATAGTTTCCTCATGTTTTATTGTCAGCTTTTTTATCCCTACAGTCATCAAATGCATGACTTGTGCAGCAGTAAAGAATGATGGGCAGCAACACATCATTAGCCAAATAGTAACAGTATCACTTCTGACAGTTTTAAGTGCATTTGCTGTATTTCATGGATTCTGGATTGCCATCATATTTGCAGTGTATCCTGGCCTAGTACTGTCTAAAATCCTCCCTCTCATCCCTATGTATCTACCAGCAATGATAATATATAGGAGAGTACCATATTTCATCAGAAGATGCAGTAAATTAGTTTGTAGATATGAGAACAGGGGACAGAGAAAACGTGATGCCTGGGTCATGATTGCAGCAATGTTCTACACAATATTCATTTATGTGGTGACATGGCTACCAATATTGGCCCTTATTGATTATGTTTCATACCAACTGAACATCATTACAATGTTTGGCAATGATCCGATAGAGCTTATGATCATTGTTGCAGTTGTCAGTATCATTACGTATCGACTAGCAATAATTCTAATTGAAGTTGATCAAAGAAGTAAAACAGTGAAAAAAGAGGTGCTTAGCACTCAACTGGATCAACCAGATAATGACCATCCAATAGAATTGGAAGAAGTTGCTAACCAATCATCAGGTGTGGAAGACAATAGATCTAGACTCCACAATGAAGATGATGAGAATGAAGACATGTCCTCCACTCATACTGAGCACAAGTAATCAATGGATGGTCAAAGAAATCTTTTTATGTACATTTTAATTATTTTTGTCAAGTGTACATGGCATACTATATTAGTTCATTATTTTTATTCTTGTCATGCAAAGTGTTTTTGTCCGTATAAGTCTTCTTGATGTGGATACTGACTGTCACTTGATACAACACTTGTAATAATAATAATAATAATAATCATAACTTTAAAAGGGAAAGACAGAATAAGAAGAAACAGGACAAAATGAATATATAAGTGAAAATAGTGACCTTGGGGTCTCAATGATGAACAGTCATAGAGCCAAAAAATAAATAAAAAGAAAAAAGGGAGAATAGAAAACTGAGAGTTTATTGAACTAGAATTTAGAAGTGGGAGAAGTTAGGAGGGCAAGAGAGGGAGGAGCATTTTGTGTTTTCCTATGACTGTGAAAACATGTTATCAAAGCAATAGCTGGCAATTGGAGGGCAAATTTTGGCGAATTGCTAAATTCTTGGTGATTGGTGGGTTTCAAGTTGACAAACATGTGACCATGTGCCATTGAACATGCACATAAATGTTTCACAATCAATGGCTATTAAAAAGCCAAATTTGCTAAAATTTTACCTCAAAATTGCCGGCTATGATGGTACATGTATTTCTAGGCTTGATGTACTGTACATGCATGATCAGATGAAATAGTAGAAAAATGAAACATTGACTGTGATATGTTTAGGATTTATTGGCATGGGATTAAATTAAGCATTCTTAGTAAGCTGTCAAATTTCATCAAAGCATTTTTGCCACTATTAGCTGCCACTATGAAATCCCAATTTAACCCACCAAATTCTCAAGACATAACACTGTACATCTTGTTATTCAAAACAACAACAGTATATTGCATTATGCAGTACATGTATATTGTATGTTTACTATAAGAGCAATTGAATCATAGTGTAAACCTGTGTGTATCTGGTGATGTGCCAAAATTCTCTTTGATGATATAAATTTTGTCATACTCCTTTACTACAATCCCTGCATGCCTATGCATGTTTAGTAAATGACTCACTACATCTTTCATTGATTGCAGTTGTTTCCAAGTATCCTTCAATTCATGTGTAATGATGTCCCTTGTCACCTCTATTGACCAAATAATCCTGTCTTTCAACCTAATAAAGGCAACGAGATTATATCCTGCTATTGTGCTATCTTTTGTAAAATACATCAAATTTGATGCTACAGTATGGATGCTATCATTATTTTTACATTAAGGCAATGCTATAGTAGAGAATTACAGTACTGACCTCTTTCTGCTTAAGTTGTTCTTTTAGTATGGACTCTTCCTTCTTCCTCTTTTCTAAATCTTTTCTTGACTTTTCTAACTTGACTTTCTAATTGTTTCTCAATCTACTCAAGCTGCACACATACAGGTACATGTACATACACAAAGAAATAAACAAGTTAGATATCAGTACATGCACAAGATGTACATGTACATGAACACTGCACACATGTGTATACGTACCAAATTGACACCTCCAACTATAAACTTTGATTCCAAATAAGACAATCTCTTTTGGAGCTCAGCCTGTTCCTTTTTATAAAGTGAAAGAGAGAAAAGAAAACGTATCAAAATCAACACTACATGTCATATATGTGCATATGCATTATTATTTTTAGTGAGGAATCATTAAAATGCTAAGTCGCTAACAAACAAATTAGGATTATCATATACATGTATGATACATGCAAATGTATATGCAATTAAAATTAGAAAATGCAGAGTATTCAGAGTTACATGTATACACAATGTACATGTGTGTCTGTTTACATGTACATGTATATGTATATGTGTAAATGTACATCTACATGTATTCTTTTATGTAAATATATTTGTGCTTACTGCGCTTTGGCCTGTTTGTCTTCTTTCTTCTCTAGTTCTTGTTGCATTTTTTCCTTATATCTTCCGTCTTTCCCAGTGAGCAGTTTCTTTCTTTCATCCTCAATTTGCCTTTTAGTTCAGCCATTTCTCTTGGAGACACTGAAGTTGCCGATAACTCTATAAAAGTAGAAAAACAAGAGGCCTACAAATTCCTCATTCCTTGTGCCTCCTTTTCTCTTGATTTATCTTGTCTTCCTCTTTCTCTCTATCTTTCTCTGCTAGCATCTTTTTTTATTTCTCTATTTTCTTTCTGAAACACGCATCCTTTGAATCTTCATTGATTCTGACGCATCAGCATATCTGAGTGCTTGTAATCTGTTGTCATGACCACACTAACATGTACATGTAATGTATAACTGACCCTGTGAATGTTAGAAGTGATTCATGATTGATCTTATTGAATGAAGGATTGTGTGCCAATAATAATAAAGGCAGTGTCTGAGTATTCTGGACTGAATAATCAGAATGAGGTAGTGTAGTGACATCACAGAACTCATAAATATTCATGATCTTATTTTGTATATATATTGCATGCTGTGTTATTAAAGATCAGTGTTTGGGTGTCAACACGAGGTAAAGCGATTTCTCTATCTGGCCGCAACAACCAGCCTTGCCTGTCACTAGCCAGCACTCATAGCATCCCACACTCAAATTGCTATAGTAGTTTAAGAGCTTTCTCCTTAGTTCAATGATATCAATAGACATCTGACATAATGATAATTAAAATAAGCTATGGGTGTGGTCAACAACTAACTAAATCATGTCCATAGATATTAGAGTAAATGAAAGGGATAGGAAACTTTCGTTGCGTGGGCGGATTAATCCATTGAGATTATTAGGTTGCCTAGCAACTTAAGCTAGTTACCCCTGGCCAGACTTGCTCTCTTCATCTCTGCAGCACTGATTCTCACCTATAGCACTTGCATAGTAGTGATTGCAGTACCATATGATACTTCAAAGAAATCAGCTGTTATACCACTATCATGCTGTAGCCAAAAATAGCAAGATTTACGCTCTTCTATTGCATTTATTAGCGATTAAAAGTTAAAAAAGTACTAGTTTGTTCTTTGGTCCCATTATCTCAAAAGCAATATTATAAATGAAAGATTTAAAGCAAGCCCCTATTAAAGAATTGTTTTCTTTAGGTCTTCCAACTTTAATAATTCCAAAAGCTTGTTTTCTCGATATTTTATGCTCAAAAACAAGTAAACTTTCCGTATTTAGTTGGGTACCATTATCTCACTGCTTGAACGAGTAATGACTAAAGAGACTTCAGATACAGAATCTAGATGAGTTATTCTGGGTCTTCCGCCCATTATCTTGTCTTTGCGAAGCATACTTTTGCTATCACAAGGGACGAATTAAGGCCTAGTCAGGCTAGTCGCCCATTGTGGCGATGGAAAATAACAGCTAGAGTATACTAGTAGTATCCGGATTCCTCCGCTTTCTAGGGTAAATAGCTTGATTTCCCGGGAATGGGAGTTTCCTATCCCTTTCATTTACTCTAATATCTATGATCATGGCACATGGGTAGGAGAAAGAAGAAAAGCTGAAATTTATTTTAGCATCTGAAGCTCTATTCCAAGAAAGAGTTGGCACAGAAAATTTTTCTAGATATTTAAAAGAGACTGAGAGAGTTTGGTTGCTCCTGCTTTCCCCAGTGCCGCCTGAAAAATTCTCAAAGAGGCTAAATCACAAAGTTTGAGCAACTGTAACTCACAAACAACGAAGTTAGGACAAAATCGTTCTTTTGTTTTTCGTTAGATGGGATTTTCTACCTCTGAAGCAAATCTCGGCCCTGTAGAGTGAAACACGAGCTCTCACCTACCTGCCTGACACCTGGAGAGAGGTCCCCTGGTTTAGCAGTTCACGGCTTTTGGTGCCACGGGATGCTACAAGAGCATAATTAGATGAAAGAAAGCAACTTTATCTGTTGCTAGAAGAAGAAATATAGCTCTAGACTGCTCAAACAAAAAGATAATTTTTTTACAAATCAATTAAACTGTGTGGACAGAATGACAGAACAAGGGCACTAAAGTGCATACCCTCGCCACATCTGTAACAATTTTAATAAATTAAGAGAAAATAATTAGTGAAAGTTTTGAGACTGAGAAGAAGCTTCAGCATGTAATAGATTTATTAAAACTTAGTGAATGTTTTGAGACAGAGAATGTTTTGTATTTTTTAGATAGAGAAGAAGCTTCAGCATGCTTGCTGACTGCTGCATGCTGCAGCAATGTAAAGGTGTGGCTGCAATGAAGGTGTGGCTCAATCAAGCCATGCTTCACCCGCATACACAGTGATGGAGTAAAGTGGGCTAAGTGGTCAAGAAAGCTTTAGTTTTTCTCGACTTTTAAACAGTTTAGCATACAATTGTTAGGCTCTATTTGTTGCATACAAACGTCTATTGAGTCCCTGATGTTTAAAGACTCTGGCCGCTACTTCTGGAGAAGAGAGCCTCGCCACAAGGTATGAATGTTTGGGCTCTCATATCTTGAAAACGAAGATGATTGGAGCAATTTCTTACATTATAATAAAAGATAAAGTTTTGTTCTATTGCTTCATTCGTTTTTTGCTATGATTCCTTTCACAATGAGAGAGTTGTGCGAGTGCCGACCTAAGTTCAACAACTTTGTTAGCTTTTGCTCCTGCGGAAAAGATAAATGAAGCGGTAGGCTGATAGGAACAAACTTTTCCTAGCTCTAGTGTTGATTATAAGACTCT